GTTCAGGCATGGCACTGAGAGAACAAGAGATGGAAAACACGGCAAGTGAAGAAACACAAGAGTCAAGGCCAACATGCGAGTATCCCAGGACAAAGTCCAGAAGGAAAGAACGAGACGGTGGGAAAGATGCAGTGTTCAAGCAGACAGTACCTGGGTGTCTTCCTAGACCAGGCAGAGACATGAGTCCCACGCAAGACAAATGCAAGCACGTCCAAACCCAGACCCACTCTGAGACCACGCGTTTGGAGACCAGGGGATTCTAAAAGCAGTAAGTGAAAAAATCCTGTGTTTTCAATGGCTCACAAGTCAAACTGGGAGGCCCAGAATGTAATGGAAATTGTTCCGGTGGCTGACAAAGAACTGGCCTCAGTGTGGGAACGTCCTCCAGCCCTCCTCTGACCGTGGCCGAGAGCTTGCACTGGCAGAGAGCACCGGAGGCAGAGGAGGTCCCTGAGAAATAATGGAGGCAGAGGAGGTGCGGACTGCAAGCAGCAAGACAAGGCGGGTGTAAAGGAGACGCTGCATTCTGTGTGCACCTGGCAACAGCGGAGATGACCCAGAGAGCTGCTCACCTCTCCACCTTGCTGATGCCTCCCTAGCACAGGGCCTGGACCCACTCCACCCTCCCTCTGATGGCAGCTGATGAACATACGGAACATACTTAGAGTTCACGAGTGAGAAAATTACAGAACATCCCCAGGTAACGTACGGGGTTCCCCAAAGGAAGCGAGATTTCGTCTGGAAGATGTGGACTCCGACAACCACAGACCTCCACGAGCAAGCCCGTTACTGAGGAGAAGCAGGCCGTCCTGGAGGAAGCACTGTACAAGGAGGACACGGGCACCAACCTCCGCTACAAACGAGGGACAGAGAAAACCCAGCAGCTCAGAAGAGACGACGGAGCTCTGCTTTCCACGACACGCTCTACGCACACACACACCGCTTGTTCGCAATACTCATGGGGTATTCACCAAGTGGTAGAAAGTGACTTCATCTGGCTTGTTTCAAATAAAAACAAGTAAGGAGGAATACAGATTCTAGAAATCTAAGGCACAGTACAGGTTATAATACCAGAGTGACCCACTGAAAAAAATGTATCGATAGTTAAAGCAACAAGGAACATCTTATCCAAATTCCCTAATAATTCTACCTGGGTTTTCCTCTTTTTCACCTTCTCTTCAGTAGCTCAAGCTCCCCTGCCCCTCGGAAGTCCCTGATAAGCCCTCATTCCTACTGTTAATCAGGTGGCCTATGACACACAAATGAGAGGTTCTCCAATTACCCCAAGAGACCAGGAAGAGTGAACACTGAGAAATTCTACTTTTTGAATGTATAAAGACAGATTTTCACAGCACATTGTTAAAGATATGCATTAGAACTAAAATACTCAACTGATAAGTAAACATAATAGCAAATTATAAATTAAACTTTTCAAACCACTGAACTGTAGTAAATTCATAGTTAAATCTGGTTTATGAGTGAGTCAAGAAATCCTGAGAGGCCGATGCTGTGCCGTATCAGGTAAAGTCGCCTGCAGCGCCTGCATCCCATACGGGCACCGGTTCCGGTTTCGGCTGCTCCACCTCCGATCCAGCTCCCTGCTAATGCGCCCAGGAAAGCAGCAGAAGACAGCCCAGGTCCTTGGGCCCCTCCACCCACGTGAGAGACCCAGAAGAATGCATTCAAGATGATAACGAAAAAAGGATCATCTCGCTGGGAAAAACCAAGGTTGTAAATTTATTCTTTTCACTGCATTTATCAAGTTATCTCTAAGTTTCTACTCAAATTCTCTTCTCACACAAAAAGACACGCGTTTTGGTCACAAAATTTCACAGTGCATCATTTTGGTAAGAAAAGGTATGCAATGTTATACATGTTTTCAATATTTTCTCTTGCTTCTAAGTATTTTCCATCTTCCTATATAAAATGATTAAATTTGTGAAAGCTTTTGAAAGCCATGCCTTAAAGAAAGCTAAGTGGTCATGAAATTAAATCAATATACAGCTTCCATGCTGAGAAACATGCTAATCCAGCCATGCCACGGAACTCGGCAGATCTGATATTAACAATAAAAGCTAACTCCACGTATTGCTAGCAAAATAACCTTGTGTTAAAAGGATTTACTACATATAATAACTAATATTCATATACATATATATATATCAATACATAAAATAAATGTTTTTAACCAACCACCTTCAATCCATTTGAAATCAGTTTTGCAGTAAAACACCACTCATGTGCTTTATGCTTGACTTTGCCTTTCTGAGGCTACAAATACTAAAAATCTGCAAAAACACTTAGGAATGCAACTGAAATTTAGTCATTTAACTATTCACTACTGGTAATTAAATTCTCATCTTATATTTTGATCTGAGGCTAAGAAACCCATTATTTTATACACAAGGGGAAAAAAAACACCATTTATCACCAAAATGTCTGATTTCCTTTTTGATACTGTAGCATATTTCTTTCAACTTTACCACTTGATACCAACTTTTCACCAATTACAGACATTTTAATTTAAGTCAGCAGTTGCTTACAGGAGACTGTCCCATATTTTAGAATTGTTTTAAATCATTACTAAGAGATGTGCTTTTAGTATAATGAGCTAGCTTTGCATATTAATTAGATCATCAGACACATGTGTGCTGAGGTTTAACCGTTCTGCAGTAAATACAATGTGGCAGGGACAGAGCTGCTGAACCTCAGCACACAGATTTCTAAAACATTTCATTGAGTCATCCAAGAAATACCATCCTGATCAACCCCCATTAAACACCTGTTGGAATACTAGGATGTTTAATTAAAAATGAAATTATACTATACGTGTGGGTGATTTTAAACAGCGGCTAAGAAATAAGTCCATGGAAAATTAGCTTCGCTCAGTAAAAAGCACACGCAGTCCTTCTGTGCAGATGGCCAATGGATTCTGCCATCCCCACTAAGAAACTGACAGAAGGGGTTCAGGGGAGAACGTGCTGCCCCTTGGCAGCAAGACCTGGCAATGCCACACATGTTACGGGAGTCTCCTGAAACCCAAGTCAGTCCCACGGCTTCATGCTCAGGGGCCCCATTCTGAGACCTGGATCATGGCCGTGAGGGCCACGCGTCAGCCTCCTCTACATTATCAGAGAGCAGCCAACTGCCCCAGGGTGGGCCCAGGCCATTCCTACACTTGGAAATCCTCCCAATCCTCACGCTCCCCTAAGCCTTCACCAGCCTCCACCAGGAAGACACCAGGATCATCTGGCAGGTGAAACTGTACATCTCTTCCCCTCCCTGGGCCTTATGTACCTCCCCTGCCACCTGAGGGAACAGGATCAGTGTTCGTAGAAGGCCTCCTTAAAGAAACACTCAAAGATTGCAGCAAACACGGGTACGGGCACTCCACTGCTGTCCACATCAGTGAACTGCTCATGCTGGTGTCCTTTCATTCACCAAACACCTGTGCAACACCCAACAAGGTGCAGGCTTCAGGACACCCAGGTGAGCAATCAGACCTGTGCCCTTGTGCGATCAGCGTCTGGGGGGGGGTGGGGAACAGGGTAGGGAGAAGCTGCGTGAGTGAGCTGGGGCCACCTCTCTAAAGGCCTTATTACCGTGTTTTAAAACATGCCCTTTGGGACCAGTGTTGTGACACAGCAGGTTAAACTGGTGCCTGTGATGACAGCATCCCATAAGCATTCTGGCTGAAGTTCCAGCTGCTCCACTTCTAATCTAGCTCCCTGCTAATATGCCTGGGAATATTATACTTGAACCCCTGCATTCACCTGGGAGATCCAGAAGTTCTTGGCTACTGGCTCCAGCTTGGCCCAGCCAGACCATTGCAGGCGTTTGGAGAGCGAAGCAGAGGGTGGAGATGGTTTATGACTTTCAGATAAAAAAGAGATACTAGAGGGCCACTGGATTAGATGTCCTGACTTTGGTCCAGTGTATCTTATGGTCATGACAGTTAATTACCAAAAATCTGAATTTCTAACAAGTTAGCAAGCTCTAAAGATGACTCCCATGCACAGTGTGCTTGGGGAACTGCAAAGTTAAGAACTGACCCCACATTTCCTCTCAGGGACCGTTGAGATCACTCAGACGCCCTGAGAAAGGGATGCGTGAGTGACACAAGTGTCCTCTGAGCATCCCTCCCTGTGCACCAGGAGGCGTCGATTCAGCGGAAGCCCACTTCCCTCATGGAGCGGAACATGTGCTGCCTGATGTCCTGACCCAGCCGTGTCTGTGTGAAGCAGGTGGCTCTGAAGGAGGAGTGGAGGCTACGCGCCCGCACGTACAGGTGTGTATCACCGTTTACGACACGTGGCAGGACCACCAGCCCTCAGGGCAGCGGCCTTCCTCTAAACGAAGACAGCCAGACTCACGGGTGGGCAGCTACTGGACCCACTTACATAACAGTGAAAGAGCTAGCACCCAAACAATGTTAATTAGGATTTAATGCTCAGACCACTTTATTTTTTATTCCCAAGGTATACTTTTCATTTAACAAAGTACTAATTTTGGTGTCTGTAACTATATGCATATCGTATATTGTTTTCAATGTCTTTCAGGTTTCTATACAGCAGGAAGAACGGGCGCACGGGAGGTGTCATCAGGACTAGGAAACTCTGCATACTTTCTGTGCCAAGGACTGGAGACTCCTGAATGGCAAATGCAGAGGCAGGAGGCAGGTGTCCTGGGACTCGAGTTGGCCATGAACTTGAACTCTGCTTTAATACAGCCATTGATTCCAGCAGAAATGGGCTGACTTAGGAAGCCATCAAACCCTGGGCAATACCACAACCTTCTGGAAAGTTCCAGCCGCCTCTGGCTGTAATACGCATAGTCTCCTTAGAGCGACCATGGGGAGCTGCCCAGGGGATCTGCCTGCTGGCCTCCTCTACCTCCTCGTTATCAGCCTCCACTGCTGAGCCCTGGAACATGACTCCATCACGGATTCCTGCATATATGCCGCACACATCTGCTCTCTAGGACACAGAGGGGACTCTTACCTGTTTCACAGCGGGGTCCGGTGAAGCCCTGGGGGCAGGCACACACGTTAGCTGCGATGCAGGCTCCTCCGTTTCGACAGCCGTCTTTGCAAAATGCTGAAACAATTCAGACACCCGACTTGAGTGCTTAGGAGTCAGTCGTTCAATAAACTCCAAACCCAGTTTTTCTGTATGTCGTTGGCTATGTGGACATGAAACTATAAAAGGTATTAGAATTTCATATTCATATATTTCCATATATGGAAGAAACATCTACACAATCTGTAAAACAGTGCTCTTTCCAATGTCAAAGACTTAACTTCACCAGTTACACCAGTGAAGTTTCTGTGAACACTGTGTGCTTCCTTACACAACGGGAATCACACGGATGTTGAGCCTGCACCTCACTGGAGCAATCTCAGTGGAAGGGAAACCTGACAGACGGCAGTCACCCTGGATGGCATAAAGCCCCCCGTGGAGGAGAGACCTGGGGAGGAAATGATTGAATCCTGGGAGGCTCTGATGCTCAACACTCTGGCCCGAGGGTCAAAATATGGCAGTCCTGGTGCTGCATCCCCTAGCAGGGGCATTTGCTGAGTGGTCTCCATGGTGCCTTGAGCTGCTTTGCCAGGATGGGTCAGGGCCAGGGTCAAGGAAAGTCACGGCAGAGCCGGTGGTACTGGACAGAGTCTGGGAGTGAAGGGACGGGAGCAGGGGTGATTTGGGGACTGGGCTGCCTTCAAAGAAGACCAGAGAGAAGGAGAGGAAACTTGAAGGGCGAGGTACAATCCTGCTTTTCCTGCAGCTGCCTTCAGCTTGTGAGGTTCTGAGGCCCTCCTGCAGCCTGCAGAGTCTGTGGGGAATGAGCCTGGCCAGCCTGTTCAGTCACAGCCAGAGATTCCGTGCTAGCCTCCTGCCTGTGCTTCCTGTAGGCAGCCAGGACACACTTTCTCCAGGCGCCAAGATGTAGAGATATGAAATATGCTCAGCTAAAGGAACAGGACTGAACAGGCCATTCGGCTTCATTGGTCCCAGGTCCCAGGTATGCTTTCACCCTAGGCAAAACAAAACAAAACAAAACAAAACAAAAAACAACACACACACACACACACACACAAAAAAAAAACAAAAAAACAAAAAAACAAAAAAAAACATGCAACCAGCAAAGATTTGCAGACACGCAGCATTTGGACCTCACACCAAGAAAGGGAGCAGCGCCTGGCTGTGTGCATGGCTTCAGGCCATGGGCAAGGTCGCAGACTGCCCATCAGCACTGACCTCGGTGAGGGACAGCCTGCAGCTTCCATCCATTCCCACTGAGACACACACGGACCTGGGAGACTCCATCCAGGCGACCTGCAGTCCCGCCTTCCGAGGGAGTCACAGACACCTGAAGGCTCCCTTCCCTCCGAGGACCACGTGTGCACAGGGCTGTGATCTCAGGTCCTCATGCTGCAAACCTCATTCTTCACACCACACAGGAATCATGGAGAAGAGAGGGATGCTGTAGGCCTCGAGATAAAACACTAAGCTGGACACACAGGACACCAGGTGCTTTGCAGAGTGCTGAGGGTTTCGTTGCATGACACTGCAGACTACAAACCTTTGTCTTTTCTCAGAACCTGTACGGCTCTTCTAAGCCAATCTTGGGGATTTGGACCCCATAACGAGTGAGTCCCTCTTTACAGCATGCACTGAGGGTTTCTACCGTTTGGAGAACCACGGACTCTGCCAGCCTGCCCGTCTCCGATGCCAACCATTTGTCACAGACCAGGCCTGAGATGCGCGCTCATGAGGCACCCACTGACAACCGCCTCTGGAAGGCACAGCACCACAATGCACTCACTCACTCAACTCCAAATGAAGTAACAGGGAATGTGAATTCTCCCCCACGGGAGTCACCTATTTCCTGGATGTGCTGAAGGGAAGACCGCGACGGTCGAAACGTGGGCTGTCAGATGGTGGTGGCCTGCAGCCGGGGTTGCCACCCAAGGATATGAAAGCCTGAAGGCAATGGGCAGCGGCAAGAGTGGTCAGTGGGGACTGGTAACCAGGTAAAGCAGGAAGCCACGTGCAGAGACCCGGTCATTCACCGCAGCTCTCGAGAGAGCAGAAGAGCAAGCGTTCAGACTAATTAAAGTGGAGTATTTCATAGTGGATTGGACTGATGGTGCTGCCCCAAAAAACAGTTGTCATGATGCATAAACGTCTGGGCTCAAAAAGACACATCAGGAGCTGGGAGACTGGAAAACAGGATACAGAGAGAGTTTCGAAGAAACGGAATATCCAAAGTCGTAGCGGGAACGGTGTGAGTGCGCTTGGTGTCAGGCCATCAAACACTCAAGGTGAAGCTCTTCAAGGAGCAGTCTACCCGGGCAGGCGCAGGCTGTGCCACAGGTGTAGTCTGCCAGACGCCACTGCGGCGGAGCTAAGGGGCGCGAGGCAGAGGAGCTGCACCGCTGGCTGCTTCGGCACTGGGGAGAGCCAGGCATGCGCGAGATCATGAGTGGCAGGCCCGCTCCCCGTGGGCGGAGCTGCTGGCATTCCAGCTTTTACCTTTGCACGTGGTTCCGTTGCCCACATAGCCAGGCTTGCAGACACAGTTGTGTCCTCCCACGGTGTTGAAGCACAAGGCGTTGTCATCGCAGTCGTGCTGACCTGTGGCGCACTCGTCGTGCTCTGAAACGAGGAACGCAGTGCTGTCAGGCAGAGCTATGGCAGCAGCTCCTCCAGCCACACACACTGAGGCTGAGGACAACCTCCACCACACACACACTGAGGCTGGGGACAACCTCCACCACACACACACACTGAGGCTGAGGACAACCTCCTCTAGCCACACACACACACTGAGGCTGAGGACAACCTCCTCTAGCCACACACACACTGAGGCTGAGGACAACCTCCGCCACACACACACTGAGGCTGAGGACAACCTCCTCTAGCCACACACACACTGAGGCTGAGGACAACCTCCGGTTTTGAAGCCCTACATTCTTCCCTGGATACAGTTCACAGATCCACACGCATGGAGGGGGAGGGTGTGGATCAGAGGCCTCACGGCAGGACAGAGTAGAAGGGCAGCGGAAGCATGCATGGGCTTGAGCTCTCACGAGGAGAGGCCAGAGTCAGCCCGACACAGCTGATGGCTCACCTGGGGTCATTTCCATGAAACCAGTCTGCCACCTCATTTCCCTGTGGCATGTGAAAGGCAACCGACGAGGATGTGAAACGCGCTGCCCCCCGAGTCATGGCCTGCACGATACTGGAGCTGAGGTCGGGGAGTCTGTGCTCTGCAGGTGACACTTGCGCCCATCCTTGCAGGCACAAGGCACTGACACAAACAACCGGGGGCACAGGTGACCTCTTATAAACTCCCTCTCTCTGCAAACAAAGTATCGTGTCTATTAAACAAGGCAAAATTGCTTTCATGTTATACCTAATGTACCTGTATACCTTAAAGTATACAGCCAACACACGATACCTTCTTTCACTGCCTGCAACTTCTACTTCTGAAGACAGTGAAACCATCTGGTCCACCCAGCACTCCTGTGGACAGGCAACGCAAGCGTCCTTATGGTGAAGGTCAGTCGATGGTGGGACAGAGCGCTAGGGAGACTGTCCACACTCACAGGGACACAGTGACACCAGACTGCTGGCTCGGTGCTCAACTAACTGTGCATGGGAATGTAAGCACATCTACAGCAAGTCTAGTTGAGCTGTGTGAGGAGTGCACACAGACCCACTCGGCGTCTCACTCCCTCGAGTGCACTATTCATCACTTGGCTTCTTACGTAAATGTGACTTATGCCTAAAGTTAAACACGCAGTGGTCAAGAATTAACTCCATAAGACAGGAACCATCACAGAGAAAAGGAATGCTTGCTTCTCACTTCAGAACTCCTTATATTCCAAACATTAAAATGTAACGTAGCTGTAATTTTCAATCATATTGCCTTTGGCATATAACAGCTGAAATTAGACCAAAGTCACTTGCCTCAACTAGTAAAACAGAATTCCCTGTGCTTTATTTTTGAAAAATAAAGATTTACTATTATATGTCTTGTGCTACATTAGAACAGTTATGACAGTTTTAACCACAGCTTGTAATAAAATCCCTAGAGATTATTCCCAGTAGTCCCCCATAGGAGAATGAGATTTCAATCACTATGATTTTAGAAATGCAGGAAGGGATATAGTGATATCCAGCTGAATCACCCACAATTATACAAAACTCCGCCCTTTCTATCCAGAATCAGAACACTTCCTGCTTCTTACAAGTTCATGTTTACTGGTGGCTGAGAAAAACCTCCGGGTCGCACAAGGCCTCCTGGCTGGCGCTATGCTCAGTTCATCAGAGCAGCTCACGAGGACCAGCATGGGTGGCCTACCTCTGGACTCTGCAGCCTGCAGCAAAATCACTCCACACTGCACAGTGCGCACCTGTGTCCAGTTCCCTCCCAGGCAACTCCAACTGCCAAAGTGAATCTGCGCATCTACATGGACAGCTGGGGGCCCTTCACAGACAGCTGCCAATCGGGTGCTGTTTTCACTCGGTTCTCTCTTCCTCTTAGACTGGGCGGAGCAAGGGCCTAACACGATTCATTTGGCACCCAGTTGATGCCATTCCATGAAGCTCAAGTCATCACGTGCCCTTGGGCCTGCCTTCCTGCTGTGTGCCCACGGACACCCTGGAAAACCCTTACCACCATCAAGACCACACAGAGATTCCATGTCTCACGTCTCCTTCTGCTCCCAAGAACCACAGTGCACTGCCTACTCCTTGGTTCTCCATCCTCCACTCTGGGATTGTGTTGCTTTCAGTCAAGAACTCTGCATTTTTCTTTGTATTTAATTTCAACATCCAAGGACTGCTCCTTGAATAAATGATTAAATGAATAAGCCTAGCAAGGTAGGAACTACGTCTGCCATCATTCCAGCCAATCCCAATTTGTTAAAATGTAGAACAGAAGTGAACAAGCAGCTAACTGAAACTGAGCTATTTTACAGTGATTTCAGTGGGGTGTGTTCTGTTTGAATGTGGATATTCAAAGCATTAATTAAGTCACACAGTCATATTTTCAAAACAGAAAATAGCAGTTCCTTTATACTGTCACTTCAAATTTTTCCATACTACTTCAAAGACTGTAGGTCATGGCTACCCCCATAATTACTGACTGAAGTAAACCAGGACCCTGGGAGAAGCCTAAATTTAGAAAAGCCATAATCTCACTGAAGAATTAACTTTTCTGTGAGGGTCCTTCACAGGAAAAAACACAAAAGCAGCAAAAATCATGCCGTCTGCAATACTGCCTCAGTAAAGAACCAGGACTGCTCTGTACCCGGGGGATCCGTCCCAAAACTCTCTCCTTCTGCCTCATTCCCCAGGGCCTCTCTATTTTTAGTGTCCCTGCAACATTACCAGATGTAATAGGTTATATTCAACAAGGGGGCTGAGATAAAATTTAAACCTGTATTACGTTTCGGGGTTGGAGACCAGCATGTCAGACTGTGGGGATGAGTGGGTGGAAGACTGAAGGACGGACACGCAGATCTTCAGTTCCGAGGTCGCAATCCTGCTTTCACATCCTCAGGACTGTGTCGTCCGCGTGAAGAGGCAATGCAAGTCCTGGCTGACATGGAACCAAATGCTGCTCTAACTCTTCCTCATTACACGTCAGCACATGGGTATTTTAGTCACAATTCAATTGTTCTTTGTATTATGAATCTGAATTTAAAATAAATGAAAGGGAAAATGAAGTAAACACTGGGGGGAAATCCCTCGCTCGGCAGCACTAAGAACACGTAACCCCAGGTGACGACCATCACAGTATGTCCTGCGCAGCAGAGAGAGAGCCGGCACACATGGAGAGAGGCGGCACACATGGAGAGAACCAGCACACGTGTCTCAGGTGCCATCGACGCCTTGCCCCGCATCACTCCCCCAGCCCCCATTACAGAGAGCCAGCACACGTGTCCCAAGTTTTTAAAAATATTATATTTATGTATGTTTTAAGACTACAATACAGAGCTTCCATCTGCTGGTTCACTCCCCTGAATGTATGTAATAGCCAGGCCTAAGATGGGGCTCAAGCCAGGAACCAGGGACTCACCCAGGTTTCCCACAAGGTGATGGGAGCCACAGCCATGACCTCTGCTCCTGGGTGGTTCTGTTTCTCACCCCAGAGTGATATCCCCAGTCCAGGGCTACAGCTTCAGTGCTGGTCTCTGCTTCTGCAAACAGAACGACCTCCCCAGGCACAGGACGGCAGTGCCCGCGTGTGTCTTCCACCCTCCTGTCCAGATAAGGGCACATGGGGGAACAGCAGGTAGGGGTAACACCAGGGTTAGTTTCACAAAGAAAGCCGCTTCACGTGCTCTGATCGTGAATGAGCACCTGGGAACAAATTTCATGTGACTAAATCCCCTCTTCGATTGTGGCTGGATAGGACTTAAACACAGTGACCAGACCTCGTAGCTTAACTAATATTCTATTCCTAGAAGCCTGAGAACAGTGTTAAGACTGGGTGGGTCTTGGAGCAAGGAAGCCCACAGGAGAGCTGTAAACCACTCTTGAGGATCTTAAATGACAGCGTCGGACTCGCATGCAGCAAGACAGCTGGCTGTAGGACAGGGTTGCTCATCTCCTCTCATTTCTGTAGACCAGCTCTTTCCCATGCATGTTCAGATCGTAGATCTCCACACTTGATCAGATGTTGAATTCTGATCTCTTACCTTCTGATTTACAGAAAATAGAGATTACTTGGGTATTAAACAGAGGGGCCCACGAGCAAAGAGAGGTTAATGTTGCACTGAGGGTCTGATCTGAGATTCAGCACCAGGATGCCAAAACCCAGCACTGAGCAGATCCTAATGGCCTCTTGTCCCCAGGATGGGCCTAAAGACGCTGCCATGAGCTGGCTCCAGTGCCAAGCAGCACTCCAGGTGAGCAGACTTACCCACAGCCGGCATCACCAGTGGCTGGTAGGGTGGCAGTGGGCAATGACTCCACCCCAACGGCAGACACCATGGCAAGGTGAGCTCTGAGTTGACCCCAGGCTGCACTGGCCTCAGCGTGCAATGGGTGTGATCTCGCATGGTGGCACTGCTGGACACAGGACAGGCGGCTGAGTGCGCTAAGGCCCAGGAAGACAACTGCAGAGAGGACTTCTCTGGTTCTTCCTGAACCAACTCTAGCTTACGGAGCACTGCAGGATGGAATCAGTAACAAGGACTAACATCAAACCCGGTGCAAACCATTACTTGAGCTCAAACAGCAGAAGTATCCAAAGGCTCAGAGAAAATGAACACTTCTCTAGAATTTCTCAGGACTGCCACAATTTCTTAGGAGTGACAGCTCCTCCCATGTGCAGATGACACTGCACACATCAGCCACCAAGCACCAGCCATGGGCAGAAAACTTTGACTTCACCCCAAAGCGCAAAATACGGTGCTGGAAACCAAGCATCTAGGAACTGAAAACTGCATATGCTCAGATGAAGATGTCAGTTACAAGCTTCACTCCCTTATTTCTAATGTACTCATGTGCGTATTTTATTCCTTCACAGTATCAATTAAAAACTTTAAAAAATTGCAACATGGGGCCAGCACTGTGGCACAGTGGGTAAACACCCTGGCCTGAAACGCCGGCATCCCATATGAGTGCCGGTTTGAGAGCCG